CTTGTGATCTCTGTCTGTCAAATAAATAAATAAAATCTTAAAAAAAAAAAAGTCATAAGGAAGAAAAAATATATTTACAGTACAGTGCTGTATTTATTGAAGAAAATTCGCAAGTGGACCGATACAGATCAAATCTGTTATTCAAGGGTCAACGGTACTTAGCATGGGAATTTGCATGGAGTAAGAGTTCAGCTGAACCCCAGAATGCTTTGGATAGATCCACAGTTGGTCAACAGGCATATTGGTCTTAAATAGGCAGCACTGCTTCGAATGACATAAAGGATATCATTGCTAGAGAAGAACTGACAAACACTGCTGGCAAAAATCTAAAACAGTACAGCTGCTTTGGAAACAGTTCGGCCGTTCTTCAAAGTAAGGCACTACACAGCAGGTTCACTTCTAGGTAATATACCTAGGAGAACTAAAAGCCTATGTTCACACAAAAACTTGTGTACAAATGTTCACAGTAGCAGTATTTATAATAGCCAAAAAATTATAATACCCCCAAATATCCATTCTCTTTAGAATAGGTAGACAAAACTGTACGTCTATACAACAGAACACTATTCAGCCACAAAAAGGACTGAAGTCGTTCCACATATGCTACCTGGAACCTTGACAACATTGCTCTAGGTGAAAGAAACCAGACACAAAGGTCACATATTGTACGGTTCCATTTCTGTGAAATGGCCAGAACAGGCAAATCCACAGACAGATTAGTGGTTGTCAGGGGCAGAGAGGGAGGGAAATGGGGAGTGACTGCTAACAGCTCTGTGTTTCCTTTTTGGAGTGATGAATTAGATCAATGTAACTGGCTGCACAACCTTGTGAATCTACTAAAAAACACTGAATTGTACACTCTAAAAGGGTAAAATTTTATACCATGTGCACTATTACCCAATTTAAAAAACAGATTTTTTTTTTTTTAAAAAGGGAAAAGAAGAGAAAGCTCCCAGCATACTCTACCCTTCTCAATGGTTCACCTTTTTATCTGATGGCGCAATGCAGTACAATCCTTTGATAACTGGCAGTTAGCGTCCTCCAAGGTTTCTAATGCTGATTTAAACTTATTATTTTCCTCCTCCAATTTCTGCTTGTTAGAATGCAGGTCTGCTACATAGGTCATCAAATCAGACACCTCTCTGTGGGTGAAAGAATGAATGAGAATCATCTCCAACATCTCCAATTCCTCCCAATCAAAATAAGGCATATATCACCGTGCGACTTTCTATTTTATCCCTTTCCATCCTTGTAAGTGTAGTCCATTTATACAATAAATATTTATTCAAGCACTGTTACAGTAGCAGAGATTTTTCCAAAATTGCCGAATATTCAGCATCTGCCAGCTGTGAAGTCAGGTGCCACAGTTTTGTTAATTCTTTTCCACTTTGCTCTAACACTGGCCTCTGACTACAATGAAGTTTCCATTTCTGCCAGGGTTATGAGAGATTCTGAAATGAATTGACACATTGTTACTCTTTCAGCCAAGGGATCTTGGCACGTTTTAACAGGCCTTTAACTAGGAAACAATTCCTAGACACTTATGTTTGCAGCCTGTAGTTCACAGTTTAGTATTCATCTTTCCTAATATTTTCTACAGCCTGTGAATGTTTGTGTCGCTCTCAACCCTGACATTAGATCACAGTCCCTTTGAGAGTCTAGATGGAGGGTTTCATGGAGTCCCAGGCCTTCTCTACCATTTTGCCATTTTATCCCACAGCTTGGGTCCACATTCCTACCACACCTTTTTGCATGGACAAACCCAAAGGGGCAAAGAGAAAATAAGGGAGGGACAGAATTTCCTCTTCTTGATATCTAAAACTCATACACATCTAGTGGAAAACAACTTTTCCCATTCATATCTATAAGTTTATTAAAGAGGTGCTTTAAAAACAATCACCCAAAGTGCTTAAGGTCAGTGTCATAATTCTACCTCAGATGGAACTTGTTTTCCATGGAAAGTACATGAAGTTAATGTGAGAGAAGGATTTTATTAGTGAGGAAATGTTAATTCATATAATACTAGTCTTATATAAATCATGCTCCTGGTGAAATTTGTTCTAATGCAAATTGAGACAGATAGTTAAATGAAAGACTGGTTAGCCACACACAAGCACACACGCTAAGTGGCTTTATCATAAGTAAGACACGCAGACCTATAAATGAGAAAAAGAAATAAGAGGTGCTTGAGAAAGCATTCCAAATAAGAAGGCTTATGTGCTCGCTTTGGCAGCACGTATACAAATAAGAAGGCTTACAAGACTCCTTTAGACGAATCTCCACTCAAAGCCTCGAAGCTCCATGACGTAGGTTCTCTTTTATCTGTGGTCATCTTAACTGAAACACATACAAGAGTGTTTTATGAATAATCCATTTCTCTAAACCACAAGAAAGCGGCAGAACAAACAGGAAGAAACACGTACATACTTGCTCTACTTGATTTTTTGCTGTCCTGTTCAAAAACGGAATCATCGATCCTGCCGCCTGATCCACCTCTCATTCTGTCCCGGCGATCAAAGACACAAAACCACTGAGTCGGGATTCTACACCAGCACAAAGCCCAGCTCATTTTTCAGATGTGCTCTGTAACTTTTCTGTTCAGATCTTTCTTTCTGGATTTTTTTTTTTTTAAGATTTTAAAAACTTTATTTGACAGAGATCACAAGTAGGCAGAGAATCAGGCAGAGAGAGAGGAAGGGAAGCAGGCTCCCCGCTGAGCAGAGAGCCAGATGCGGGACTCGATCCCAGGACCCTGGGATCATGACCTGAGCCGAAGGCAGAGGCTTTAAACCACTGAGCCACCCAGGTGCCCCTCTTTCTGAATCTTAAAACTATCTATTCATTCAGCAACTATTTGGAGTTCAACATCGTGCTTAGATGGGGTGATAGAAAAGAAACTTAAGGCATTACCTCTATTTTCCATAACGTTTTCATCTAACCTGGAAAAAAAAATGTGCCTGCAGAAGCAGGAAGGTAATGATGTGCAGCAGCTATGGTTGGCAATAGGAGGCCTCAAGGGATTAGGACGGCAACATAGTTTGGAGTAATAAGTGAACATTTGCTGAGATAACAAATTTTAAAACTTTTAAAACTTTAAAATTTAAGTTCTTAAATTTAAAAATCTTAAAAATTGGGAATGAGGGCACCTGGGTAGCTCAGTGGGTTAAAGCCTCTGCCTTTGGCTCAGGTCATGATCCCAGGGTCCTGGGATCGAGCCCCACGTCGGGCTCTCTGCTCAAAGGGGAGCCTGCTTCCTCCTCTCTCTCTGCCTGCCTCACTGCCTACTTGTGATCTCTGTCAAATAAATAAAATCTTAGAAAAAAATTGGAAATGAAAAGGCATGAACAACTAATATCTCAGGATACATTCATGGTGTTAATCATTTTTCCTTTCTCATGGAAAACCAAGTTGAACCTAGACAAATTGTATTTGAGCACTGGCTCCTGAAATTTGGGGAAAGCTCTCTATAGTCCACTGTCCAGTACACAAATTCTAGCTCTAACCCTCAAAATAAACAGATTAAAGTTTCAGCCATTTCCTTTTTAAGAGTCTCTATACTATGATGTAAGTTTTACTTAATCTTTCTAAATGCCAACTACTTAAACTGTTTCTGGAACAGCTACAGAATTCTCTATATCTGTACTAACATCTCATTGCGCTTCAATGTGAGAGGTCTGTCAGAATAAATCACGTACCACTTTCCTATTGATAGCTCTATATCGTCACCATTTGAGTTTCTGTGCTTCTATTTTCTGTTTATACCTCCCATATGTTTTCTTCACTTTTGTTATAAAAATTGTGTTTTTTTTGTCCTCACATCATTCTATAATGGATTGTTTTATTATACAAACCTAAGTATTACAGAAAAATGGGAAAATGCAGGAGAAAATAACAAGGTTGAAACCATCATGGAAAGATAATCATTTCCAAATATATTCTTCCCCACTTTCTTCATGCATATTTTTCTTGATAAATATGGGTTTATAATACATAGATCTATTAATGGTCATATTTGAAATAAATATACATGAATATTTTCTCAGATGTTTAATTATAATTTTGAGTGATTATTTAGGATTCTAGTGGATGGAAGTATTATAATTAATCTGACTATATTAAAATTTATAAGTTGCTTACATATATCACTATCAAAAACACACATATTAGGGATATGATTTTCTTGAAGTTACATGACTAGCCCAAATACCTCACATAATTTTAATCACATAATTTCCTAAATCGTTCTTGAAAAAACTATGCAACTTGCACTACCACCAACAATGTATGAAAGGAGACTTATTTCTCCACCTACTCTGACAACACGGGGTAGAGTTATTCTTTTAAAATTTTGCTAAACTGATGGGCAAAACTGGTATGCTGTTTTTATTTGTATTTCTTTGATTACTAGTAAAATCCGATACTTTTATGTATTTATCTTGCTTTCATGATTAACTTGCTCTTGGCAAACAACATTTTGGTCATCTTTTCTTACGTCATCTAGACATCCTAACCCTACATGAAATCTAGCAAGTTTTGGCACTTTTTAGGCTTGCAGTTTTATTTAAGGAAATTTCTAGTATAGAAAAACTGGTAGCTGATTAAAAGCCAGAGAACTTAGGCGTCCTGTGAAAGAATGAAAAATTTCTCCAGGTTCCTCCAGAGAATGATAGCTGTATGGTATCAGGCTTACTCTCCACCTTCATCTTTTTTTCTCCCCAATTCTACAACTTTTTTCCTTTTCCCTTTAGTTTTCCTTTATCCTAGGCTTTCAAATTACATTCACTGCCTAATTATCCCCCACTGACCTTTAAAAGGTACTCACTCTAAGTTTAAATGCATTTGGAGATTTGCCAGTCATTATCAATAATCTGCTTGACTCCTATGTCAGTTCAATTCTTTGTGAGAACAAAATAATATGTGCTGCCCTTAATCACAATAAATGGATGTTACAAGGATTAACATAACAAATATAATACATTCTCAAAGCATGCTCATCCCTGCCATGCGTACACATACGCTCATCAACATCATTATCACTTGGAAATAGGTTAGAAATGCAAATTATCAGGCTTCACCACAGACCTACTGAATCATGGTTGGGGGGCAACAATCAGGCATGATAAATAGTTCAGGTGATTCCAGGGCATGCTACCGTGTGAGGAGCACTGGATTATAGTACTTCCATCAACACAAAAAAACAGTGATTAGCATTAGCTGTAATCAGTTGTTAAAACAGAACATGGATATTTATTCTGTTGGAACTCTGATTATTATTTTTTAAAAGATTTATTTATTTGAGAAAGAGAGAGAGATCTTGGGGTGTGAGAAAAGTGGGGAGAGGGAGAGGTGGAGGGAATCTCAAGCAAACTCCACACTGAGTGCCAAGCTGGACATGGGCTCATCTCATGACCCTGAGATCATGACTGGAGATCATGACCCTGAGATCATGACCTGAGCTGAAACTAAGAATTGGACACTCAACCGACTGTGCCACCCAGGCGCCCCAATGATTACCATTTGGTTCTACAGCAAGCCATCCATTCTTTCATGATGGCATGAAAAATTTCCAGGTCCACATGCAGGTCTCCCTTTTTAGGATCAAGTATGTTCCATAGCTTCTCAAGTCCACTATCTTCATAATTTTGACTACTTTCTTGTCTCAGATAATCTATTATTTTGGCAACTCCTACTGAACCTTAGGAAGAAAAGCAAATTAATTTTGAAAGATGTATTAAGATTATGCTTTAAAAGTAAGGAGTGAAGTACTCAACATTCTCAAGACACTTGAGCCCTGGAAACATGCCACAAAACCTTCACAGTCCTGCTGAGTTGGCATGGTAGAGTGGTGAGAGCACTGGCCTTGGGCTGAAGTCTAACGGACCTGGTGTCCGATCTTGACGCTGGAGTTTACCGGGTGTGTTGATTTGGGAAAATTTATTAATCTCTTTAAGCCTCAGTTTCCTAATCGGAGAGATGGGGATGATAAAATGTACCATACATAGTTGTTGTGAGGTTTAAATACGCATGATATATACAATCAATAATCACTTGTGAGAGTAATCAAAAGGCCACCTTATTTCTGTCTCCCATTCTTTCCTTAAAAACTTTGAGTGAATACCAACAGCATCTTTCACAGAACTAGAATAATCCTAAAACATGTATGGAACCACAAACAACCCCAAATAGCCAAAGCAATCTTGAAAAAGAAAAAGGCATCACAATTCTAGATTTCAAATATTACAAAGCTGTAGTAATCAAAACAGTATGGTACTGGCACAAAAATAGACACATAGGTTAATAAAACAGACTACAGAACCCAGAAATAAACCCATGTTTAAGTGATCAATTAATCTGTGGCACAGGAGGCAAGAATATATAATGGAGAAAAGACAGTCTCTTCAATAAATGCTTCTGGGAAAGCCGGACAGCCACATGGAAAAGAATGAAACTAGACCACTTTCTTACACCAGAAACAAAAAATAAACTCAATATGGATTAAGGACCAAATTGGTGAGATACAAAACCATAAAACTCGTAGGATATGTGGAGAAGATGGCACAGTAGGAGGATCCCAAACTCACCTCATCCCATGGATAGCCACCTCATCCCATGGATAGATACACTGAGATAACAGCTACATCAGTGTAAACAATCCAGAAAATAACCTGAACACTGGCAGAACAGACTCTCCACAGCTAACTGTAGGAAAGAGGCCACATCAAAAAAGGTAAGAAGAGTAGAGATATGATTAGGAACCAAACTGACTCATAACACTATCTAAAGGAAGGAGGGACACGAAAGGCACAGAGAAGAGAAAGGAGTACACCACACTAGGAATCCCAGGCATGGGGAATCTGCATTGACAGGACGAATCCCCATAACATTTGGCTTTGAAAACCAGGGGGGGCTTAAGTTTGCAAGTTCTTAAAATCAGTGGGGCTTAACACCTGGAACCTTAAAAAGCAGCAGGCATGGCTCTGGGAGAGCAGGAGGGGGATAGGAAATGGAATCCTGCCTTTAAGAGAGAGCATAACAAACAACACTGCTGAGATGTGACAGCGAAGCAGCAATTTGAAAAGCACCTAGGATATATAGGAAGATTTATTTCCTAATTTTAGAACATGTGCAGAAGGGATAGGAACCAGTGGGAGACTCCTCCAAGAAAAAGAGTGCTGGCAAGCACCATCCTTTCCCCCTGCCCAGCCTAGATATACGGACACCTGCAAGAACCTACACAGTGTGAACACTTCCCACCTAGAATGTTGACAGTGACCCTGCCCCAGCATTCTCCTGTGGACCCTCACAATCCAACACACCCTCGGCAGAAATCCATCCAAAGCAGTGCCCCATGCCTGGGAGGGTGCAAGAGCCCCAGTAGGGAGCAGCACCACTCCAAACTGACACCTCCCCCAGGGAGAGGGAAAGGTAACCACATACATCAGTTTGACTGTGGCCCCAAAAAAGGGCAGGGAGCAGACATCTGGTCTGACTATAGGATCCACTCACTAAGAAAGCTTCTCCGGGGATAACACAGAAAAGAGAGCCTCACAGTTCTATGTGACCACAGCTCTGGCGAACAACCAGTCTGATCCAACTCAAGATAAAGTTGGCTCCAGAGTAGTCCACTAACCACACAGGGACCAAATCCTGCCCAGACAGGCAAGGAGAACCATTGCAGATGACTGGACTGAAGGCAAATGTGGCTCAGCCACAACAGTAGGGTGCACACAAAACAGGAGACACCCCCTGAAGTGTCAGGTTCTCCTGAACAAGAGATATCACACTGCAGGGCCCTACAGGACCTCAGCTTCATGAGGCCACCTCTTTCAAGAACAAGAGATGCAGCTGAGTTTCCTAATACATGGAAACAGAGAAAATCAAACAAAATAAGGTGACAGAGGACTATGTCTCAAATGAAAGAAGAGGGCAAAATCACAGCAAGAGAGCTGAATAAAACAGAGGTAATTGATATGACAGTTAGAGAATTTAAAGTAATGGTAATAGGGACGCCTGGGTGGCTCAGTCGGTTAAAGCCTCTGCCTTCGGCTCGGGTCATGATCTCAGAGTCCTGGGATCGAGCCCCGCATCGGGCTCTCTGCTCAAGTAGGGAGCCTGCTTCCTCCTCTCTCTCTCTGCCTGCCTCTCCGCCTACTTGTGATCTCTGTCTGTCAAATAAATAAATAAAATTTAAAAAATAAATAAATAAAGTAATGGTAATAAAGATGTTCAACAGACTTGAGAAACGGGTGGAGGATCTCAGTAAGACCCTCAATAAAGAGATAGAAAACAACAACAACAACAACAAAAAGAACCAGTCAGAGACATGCCTGGGAGGCTCAGTAACTTAAGTATTGGACTCTGACCTCAGGTCAGGTCTTGATCTCAGAGTCATGAGTTCAAGCCTTCAATGGGTATAGAGTCTATTTAAAAAAAAAAAAAATTAATCAGAGATAAATAGTTCAATACTTGGAATTTAAAATGCACTACAGAGAATAAATAGTAGACTAGAGGAAACAGAAGAATGGATCAGTGACCTGGAAAGCAGAGTAGTGGAAAGAGATCTAGTTGAACAGGAGAAAGAGAAAAGAATAATAATGAGTCTAGATTAAGGGAATTCAGTGACACCATCAAGTGTAATAATGTTGACATTAAAGGATCCTAGGAGAAGAGAGAAAAGGAGAAGAAAATTTATTTGAGGAAATAGTAGCTGAAAACTTTATAACTTTGGGGAAGGAAACACAAATCCAGACCCAGGAGGCACATAGAGGGCACAAAAAAAAAATCAACCCAAGCAGGTCTAAACCAAGACACATAATCATAATGGCAAAAAGTAGTGAATAAAGGGAATTTTTAAAGCAGCAAAAGATGGGCACTTTAGCGGCTCAGTCGGATAAGTGTCTGACTCTTGATTTTAGCTCAGATCATGATCCTGGAGCTGGGGGTGAGGGTGTTGGTTCCTGAGACTGAGTCCTCTATTGGCCACCATGCTCAGCAAGGACTCTGATTGAGAATTCTCTCTCCCTCTGCCCCTCCTCTTCCTGAGTATGTTTTCTCTCCTTCTTTCTCTCAAATAAATAAATAAATCTTTAAAAAAAAAAATCAGCAAGAAAAAGAAAACAGTTACATACAAGGAAACCCCATAAGGCTCTCAGCTGATGTCTGAGCAGAAACTCTGCAGGCCAGAGGAGAGCGGCATGATATATATTCAAAGTGTCAAAATAAATAATAATAATTAAAAAAAAACTGCAACCAAGAATACTCTATCCAGCAAGGTTATCGTTCAGAAAAGAAGAACAGATAATGAGTTTCCCAAACAAAATGTAAAGGAATTCATGACCAATAACCAGCTTTATAACAAATGTTAAAGGGGATTCTGTGAGTGGGAAGATAAGCAGAGTAAGAAAAGTAGGATGCACAAAAGCACTACGATTAAGTATATCTATAAAAATCAGTCAAGGAATTCACAAAATAAAAGTATGAAACTATATAGCAAAAACACAGGTGGCAGAGAAGTAAAACTTTGTGCTTTAAGACTGGATTCAAACTTAACTGGTCATCAATTTAATATAATGTGCTAAATGCATAAGATGTTATATATAAACCTAATGGTAATCACAAGTCAAAAACCTGTAACAGATATGCAAAAAAATAAAAAGAAAGGAATCCAAGCATATAACCAAAGAAAACCAGTATGGAAGGAGCCCAAATGTCCATCGACTAATGAATGGATAAAGAAGACATGGTGTATATATACACAATGGAATATTATTTAGTCATCAAAAAGAATGAAATCTTGCTATTTGCAATGATGTGGATGGAGCTAGAGTGTATTATGCTAAGTGAAATAAGCCAGTTAGAGAAAGACAAAACATGATTTCACTCATATGTGGAATGAAAGAAACAAAACAGAGGAACATAGAAGAAGGGGGAATAAAAAGAAAAGGAAGCAAACCATAACAGACTTAAATATATAGAACTGAGGACTGATGGAAGAGAGGTAGGCAAATAGGTGATGGGTATTAAGAAAAGAACTTCTTGTGTTGAGCACATGATGTTTTATGTAAGTGAGGAATCACTAAATTCTACTCCTGAAACCAATATTATATGTTAACCAACAAGAATTTAAATAAAAATTGGGGTAAAAAAATAAAAAAGGTTAAAAAACAAAAAAAGCCCAAAATAAAACACATAAACAGAAACAAATGTTAACCTCTTCCAGAGACATCCTCATAGACACACCCATAAATATAGTTTGACCACTATCTGGGCATCCTTTATTCTAATCAAGTTGACACATAAAATTAAGCATCACGCACTGTTGTAGCCATTAAAAAAACACTAAAAGTAGCTAATATTTGGGGGAGTCATGGGCTTTCTATATCTGAGAAGAAATGCTTCTTTGTAGAATTTTTAAAGATATGTAATAGGTAGGCTCTGAGAGTGACCTTAAAAGGCTTAGCAAACACTTCTTATCAGAAACATATAGATTTGTGTACATGAAGATTTGTATAAAGATAAATAGGCAAAGACTTCTGGAATGTCACAAGAACCAAGTACTCTAAACTTCCACTTAGATTATGTTCTTTCTGTCTCAATGTAACATTTATTTGAAGCACAAATTTTGATTCCTAAGATTCTATCCTATGCTACAAATCATAATGCACGTCCTTATGGAAAGATAAAGATTGTATGATA